TCCTTACTTTCTCCCCCTTCCACTTTCCTCTTCCACTTTTGCGGTAAGGCTGCAATTATTTGGTTCTAATTTTGGGTAGAGCAGACATTTCCATATGTTTTTGTTAGCTGCATGTGCGACATAACTCCACCAGTCCTACCGATGATATCATTTACGAAGATTATACCTTTTTTAAACATTCTGTCAAAAAATAAAGTTTTTTTGTCAATTAGTATATTTGAATTTAACCACAATATTTGTTACATTATTTGTTCTGTCGTTTCTGGAGGATTAAATTGAAATTGCAACCAATTTTCTATGGCTTGTTTTAGAAATAGTGATATTTGGGAGATTATTTCCTTTTCAAATAACTGCAAATGAGTTGTTGTAATCTGAATAAAGGGAAAAAGGCCTTTCTTGAACATTGGGTGAGACAATCTTACTAATTTGCTTGAGAACCAGTTTGGGTTTAAGTATAACTTTTGTATGACTGAAGCTTTTAGTGATAGGTCTAATGCTTTAATATTTAATAATTTCTGTCCTCCAAATTCATATTCATTATATAAATATGCCCTTTTAATTTTGTCTGGCTTGCCGTTCCAAATAAAATATTTTTTTCTCATATAATTTCAAAAACTGTTCGCTAGGCGTAGGCAAGACCATAAGCAAATAGGTAAACTGGGATAATACTATTTAACTATATAACTGACTTGCCTAGTTAAATAAAGGTTAAATAAAAAATGAAAAAGAATGCATTCTCAAAATCAACTGCACTTTCGACTATTCAACTACTCAAGATTTACGCAGAGTGGAGCTGCAGGGCAGACATGTTATAAGGCCCAGAGTATGGGCCTTTCTCAGTGTGAGAGGCTGCACAGTCACGTGCACTGCCCCAGCTTCCCAGCTAGAGGTTCCCCTTGAGGTTGTTTACGCATGTTTAGTTATTTCACTGTGCCAATTCATAGGAATTCTGACAGCTGCAAAAAGGACTCTGTAGCCTTGGGGAACATCTCGTCTCATTTCTTTTAAATAGGATACATTGACTTAAAGCCTGATATTTCTTTTTTTTCTTAAGATGTTCTTTTTCTTTTATAAACAATACAAAATATGCACATACAAAAGACAACATCATACAAACATCAACAACATCACACCTGCCAAGTCCCACTAGCACACACCCCCATCTCCAGCTCCTGCATCACTCTCCGCCACATGGCCTGAAACTGCACCATTTTGTTTCTCTCCGTAGCCCACGCAATTTCAATATTTCAATAATAAATCTATAGATTTATCCATTGTGTTAATGATGGCGGATTGATTGATTTCCAAGTTTTTAGTATACGTTTTTTCAACATGTGTGATGAGAAGAGAATCGTCCAGCCCATTGGGTATCTCACTACACTCTCTTATGCCATGTCTTGAAATACGCAGACAGACGGATTAAAAGTAAGTTTCCATTGTAATACTTCTGACAGCCAACTTTCTAGCTCCGCCCACAACTTCCGGACTTTATAGCAATCCCAGAAAGCAGGGATTATTGAGTTATTATGCGTTTTACACATGTCTGCTGTAGAATTTGTGAATTTTGTCTCTTGTATAATAAATGCTATACATAAGCTTATACTGGACATTTTCGTTAACTGTAATTTCGTTAGTTATGCTTCAACTTTCCCTCCATCTTGTGCCAACATCAATTCTTTTTAAGTCTTTATTCCAATAGTTTATATTTTTTTCTAAGAGATTGTCAGTTGCATATGCTCTCTGCAAGGTTTTGTTTATCTTCTCTATCATAGGAACATCATTTTTTTACTCAAATAATATTCCCTCAAGGTAAGGTGGCCAAAAGATTTCAAATCAAAATTCTGTGATCTGTAACTTTTAAGTTGCATGTATTTGAAACTATCTACATTGGTCAGTTGAAAATTACTTTTTGATTCTGTCATGGAAATAAATGTATTTCCTGTTACCAAATCATTTACAGTTTCTGTGCATTTAGTTTTCCAAAGCCTGACATTTTATGATATGCTGATGTAGGAAGAATGATAATGTTCTTTGTTATTCTGGTCCTATGTTTCAATATATACGGTATGTGTACAATTGCGTTGTTCTATTTCCCCTTAACTGTACTTCCTGTTCCTCATCACATTGCAATGGCCAGCAGAGCATAAGGGAAGGCCCTGCGAGGTTGCCATGGTGATGGCCCTAGACTGTAGCTCTGATGTAATAGAGCTCCTTGCTGTTTGTTCTCATCTCCACTACTCACAACGCCCCCCAGGCCCAATGCAAGACATTTGAATATGATCACAGAATAGACAAGATTTTGAAGCTCAATATGGATCAACTAAGAATTTCATAATCAGTCTTCCATTGACATTGAACAGAATAGCCTTATTTCTATAAATCAAATCAAATCAAATCAAATTGTATTGGCCACATGCGCTGAATACAACAGGTGCAGACATTACAGTGAAATGCTTACTTACAGCCCTTAACCAACAGTGCATTTCTTTTTAATAAAAAAGTAGAATAAAACAACAAAAAAGTGTTGAGAAAAAAAGAGCAGAAGTAAAATAAAGTAACAGTAGGGAGGCTATATATACAGGGGGGTACCGGTGCAGAGTCAATGTGCGGGGGCACCGGATAGTTGAGGTAATTGAGGTAATATGTACTTGTGGGTAGAGTTAAAGTGACTATGCATAGATAATAAACAGAGTAGCAGCAGTGTAAAAGAGGGGGTGGGGTGCAAATAGTCCGGGTAGCCATGATTAGCTGTTCAGGAGTCTTATGGCTTGGGGGTAGAAGCTGTTGAGAAGTCTTTTGGACCTAGACTTGGCACTCCGGTACCGCTTGCCGTGCGGTAGCAGAGAGAACAGTCTATGACTAGGGTGGCTGGAGACTTTGACAATTTTGAGGGCCTTCCTCTAAGTATATACTGTATATATTTAGAGTACAGAGGTACTCTAAGCCCAACCAATATTTTTTGGGAAGGACAAAACTTACCGATATATCTCCCGATATACTGTGTTACAGCAGGGAAATTAAAAAGTGTAATTTTCCAACACTGAATTCTCATAAATTGCCATCCAAAAGAGCAATTGTCCAATAACTATGCTTTAAATGTTGATTTTATACATTGTGACAGTATTGACACATCATGAGAATGGCCGCGAGTGTTATCCTATGGGGACAGCCAAAGAACCCTTTTAGGTTCTAGATAGCACCTTTTTTTTTAAAGAGTGTAGGAGGGAGAACATTCTGAGAGAGGGAAGAGGGCCAGAGGAAGAAAGCTCTCCTCTATTGTCTCTCCACTATAGGGACATGCTGAGCAGTAGGCAGTGGGTCGTACTGTATAAAAGAATGGCAGGCGGTTGTGTAAAGACATGCCAGCCTGCATTAGGTCTGTGTGGGGAGAGAGTCCGGTTAACGTAGATCAGGGGTGTCAAACTCATTCCACAGAGGGCCGAGTGTCTGCGGGTTTTTGGTTTTTCCTTTCAATTAAGACCTAGACAACCAGGTGAGGGGAGTTCCTTACTAATTAGTGACCTTAATTCATCAATCAAGTACAAGGGTGGAGCGAAAACCCGCAGACACTCGGCCCTCCGTGGAATGAGTTTGACACATGTGACGTAGATGGTCACTACCCATTAGCCTGATAGGTTGAGCAAAGAGTTCCTACCCACAGACACACACTGTCATAGACACCCACCCATGGTGCAATAGGCCATGATACTGTCCTCACATTTCATTGGTTCTCTAGTCTGTACCACCCGACCTTTCAATCCTCATTTCAAGGTGTCCTCTGATTGTCTTTGCCTTACTTACAAACGCTACTATTATAATCACAATAATGTAGTTTTACCTTTTATCAATGCGTTTTAACCTCAACCTCTTGTCTTGGACAGTACTAGGTCTTTGTCCTGCATACCTTCTATTATGAGTTCATATTATGAGCACCATTTTATGTAAAAAAAAAAAAAAACTGTTAAATGCTGTAGATGTTGTGATTTCTCTCTGTTGGTTGATTACATGGTCACTATTGCGTCTCTCCGTCTATTGACTCTTTCTTTATTCAGTGCCTCTAATTGACGTGTCACACAACATCAATATATACTGAACAAAGATATAAAGGCAACATGCAACAATTTCAACAATTTTGCTGAGTTACAGTTCATAGAAGGAAATCAGCCAATGGAAATAAATAAATTAGGCCCTAATCTATGGATTTCACATGGCTGGGCAGGGGTGCAGCCATAGGCCCAACCACTGGGGAGGCAGGCCCAGCTAATCAGAATGAGTTTTTCCCCACAAAAGGGCTTTATTACAGACAGAAATACTCCTCAGTTTCATCAGCTGTCCGGGTGGCTGGTTTTAGATGATCCCGCAGGTGAAGAAGCCGAATGTGGAGGTACTGGGTTGGCATGGTTACACGTGGTCTGCGGTTGTGAGGCCGGTTGGACGTACTGCCAAATTCTCTAAAACGACGTTGGAGGGGGCTTATGGTAGAGAAATTTATCTGGCAACAGCTCTGGTGGACATTCCTGCAGTCACATGCCAATTTCACGCACCCTCAAAACTTGAGACATCTGTGGCATTGTGTTGTGTGACAAAACTGCACATTTTAGAGTGGCCTTTTGTTGTCCCCAGCACAGGGTGCACCTGTGTAATTATCATGCTGTTTAATCAGCTTCTTGATATGCCACACCTGTCAGGTGGATGGATTATCTTGGCAAAGGAGAAATGCTCACTATCAGGGATGTAAACAACTTTGTGCACAACATTTAAGAGAAATGATATTTTTGTGTGTATGGAAAATTTCAGGGATCTTATATTTCAGCTCATGAAACTTGGGACCAACACTTTACATGTTGCGTTTATATTTTTGTTCATTATAGATTGCTCCACTGAAGACTACGTTGTATTGTTTTATAGCTGTAATGAATGTGCTAATTGGAGTGTTTTTTAACCCTTCCTCCCTGGCTCTCTGTAGGTGAGTGTGTGAGTGTGTGTAGGGCGCAGTCGCCATGCCGCTGGTTAAAAGATGCATCGAGCCCAGGCACCTGTGCCGTGGAGCCGTGCCGGACGGGGTCACCAGCGAGCTGGAGTGTGTCACTAACAGCACCCTGGCAGCCATCATCAAACAGCTGGGGGGCCTGAGTAAGTCTACACACCTGACTGACTGACTGACTGACTGACTGACTGACTGACTAAATGACTGACTGACTGCTGACTGACTGAGTGACTGCTGACTGACTATCTGCTTACACGACTGACTGCTAACTGACTGGCTGACTAACTGACTGACTGCTGACTGGCTGCTGACTGACTGGTTGACTGACTGGCTGACTGCTGACTGACTAACTGACTGACTTACTGCTGACTGACTAACTGACATACTGACTGCTGACTGGCTGCTGATTGACTGACTGGCTGGCTGACTGATTGACTACCTGACTAACTGACTGACTAGCTGACTGACTGACATACTGACTGCTGACTGGCTGACTGACTGACTGGCTGACTTCTGACTGTGACTGGCTGACTTCTGACTGACTGACTAACTGACTGCTGGCTGACTGCTGACTGATTGACTAACAGATTGACTAACTGACTGACTGACTGACTAGCAGACTGACTGACTAACTGGCTGACGGACTACCTGACTGACTACCTGACTAGCTGACTGACTGACTAACTGGCTGCTGACTGACTGACTAGCTGACTGACTGACTGACTGACTGACTAGCTGACTGACTGACTGACTGACTGACTGACTGACTGACTGACTGACTAGCTGACTGACTAACTGACTGGCTGCTGACTGACTGACTAACAGATTGACTGACTGACTGCTGAAGGGAAATGGGATAGGGGCTCCTCTTACTGTAGATTAAATCTTAACCAAACTATTTCAGACAGTATTTTTGAACATGTACTGTATGGGTTATTTTAAAGGTACATTCTCACTGCCCTGCTCTGTCCCCTATGTCTATGCATGGTGTGTGTGATTTGTGAATGCAGGTCGACATGCAGAGGACATCTTTGGAGAGCTTTTCAACGAGGCCAACAGCTTCTACATGAGAATGAACAGCCTCCAGGAAAGAGTGGACCTGCTGGCTGTCAAAGTCACCCAGCTGGACTCCACTGTGGAGGAGGGTAGGTGGTGGCAGCGGGGGGAAGGGTTCACATCTGGGGGGTAAGAGGGGTAATTTATCTGCTGAGCATCATACAGGACATGCTATAGCATGATCATTCCCAGGACAACGTACAGCACAGCATATGGTATGAGAGCGTGAATGAGCATCAAATGAAGAGCACCATGGTAATTAGCGCAGTAAAACACACGGTTGCATAACGCTTAATGCTTGGGCTTCACCAGGGCTGAGGGCCCAACAGCTGAGTCCCAGACTCCCTGCTGCTCCAATCACCAATACACTGGTTGTCATTATACAGGCTGGGATACACTGGAGACTGTATGTGCATCCTGAAGAGTCTGCTCACTATAATCCTGACCCTATATTTCAGAGGAAGCATTGATACAGTGCCTTGCAAAAGTATTCATCCCCCTTGGCGTTTTTTCCTATTTTGTTGCATTACAACCTGTAATTTAAATGGATTTCTATTTGTATTTCATGTAATGGACATACACAAAATAGTCCAAATTGGTAAAGTGGAATGAAAAAAATAACTTGGTTCAAAAAATTCTACAAAATAAATAACGGAAAAGTGGTGCGTGCATATGTATTCACCCCCTTTGCTATGAAGCTCCTAAATAAGATCTGGTGCAACCAATTACCTTCAGAAGTCACATAATGAGTTAAATAAAGTCCACCTGTGTGCAATCTAAGTGTCACATCATCTGTCAGTATATACACACCTGTTCTGAAAGGCCCCAGAGTCTGCAACACCACTAAGCAAGGGGCACCACCAAGCAAGCGGCACCATGAAGACCAAGGAGCTCTCCAAACAGGTCAGGGGCAAAGTTGTGGAGAAGTACAGATCAGGGTTGGGTTATAAAAAAATATCTGAAACTTTGAACATCCCACGGAGCACCATTAAATCCATTATTCAAATATGGCACCACAACAAACCTGCCAAGAGAGGGCCGCCCACCAAAACTCACGGACCAGGCAAGGAGGGCATTAATCAAAGAGGCAACAAAGAGACAAAAGATAACCCTGAAGGAGCTGCAAAGCTCCACAGCGGAGATTGGAGTATCTGTCCATAGGACCACTTTAAGCCGTACACTCCACAGAGCTGGGCTTTACGGAAGAGTGGCCAGAAAAAAGCCATTGCTTAAAGAAAAAAATAAGCAAACACGTTTGGTGTTCGCCAAAAGCCATGTGGGAGACTCCCCAAACATATGGAAGAAGGTACTCTGGTCAGATGAGACTAAAATTGAGCTTTTTGGCCATCAAGGAAAACGCTATGTCTGGTGCAAACCCAACACCTTTCATCACCCCGAGAACACCATCCCCATGGTGGTGGCAGCATCAGGCTGTGGGGATGTTTTTCATCTGCAAGGACTGGGAAACTGGTCAGAATTGAAGGAATGATGGATGGCGCTAAATACAGGGAAATTCTTGAGATTAACCTGTTTCAGTCTTCCAGAGATTTGAGACTGGGACGGAGGTTCATCTTCCAGCAGGACAATGACCCTAAGCATACTGCTAAAGCAACACTACAATTGAGAATCTGTGGTATGACTTTAAGATTGCTGTACACCAGCGGAACCCATCCAACTTGAAGGAGCTGGAGCAGTTTTGCCTTGAAGAATGGGCAAAAATCCCAGTGGCTAGATGTGCCAAGTTTATAGAGACATACCCCAAGAGACTTGCAGCTGTAATTGCTCTACAAATATTTTGACTCTGGGGGGGTGAATAGTTATGCACGCTCAAGTTTTCTGTTTTCTGTTTTTTGTCTTATTTCTTGTTTGTTTCACGTCTTCAAAGTGGTAGGCATGTTGTGTAAATCAAATGATACAAACTCCCCAAAAATCCATTTTAATTCTAGGTTGTAAGGCAAAAAAATTGAAGAAATGCCAAGGGGGGTGAATACTTTCGCAAGCCACTGTACACCACTAATAAATGTGGTTTGTTTTCATGTTATTGAACATTCCACACTTGTAAACTTCCTGGGTTGCCATGGCACTTCATTCATAGCTGCCAATGAATCAGTGTTGTAGTGTTCATTCATTGTGTTGATCCTTGGCATTCTGGTCCCAGTTTCGCTGCAGGACATCAACATGAGGAAGGCCTTCAAGAGCTCCACCATCCAAGACCAGCAGGTGGTGTCCAGGAACTCCATCCTCAACCCTGTCATGGAGATGTACCATCGCTGTGACAAACCTCCACCCCTCAACATCCTCAGCCCCTACAGGTCAGCCCTCAGCCAATCACATTACGACTTACTGAACCCCACTTTAGTCATTGCACTTATCCTTTTACGTTGAGGTACAAGGTACATAATTAAGCATTGGGGATGTGCAATTTATGTGTATTATAACATAAGAGTTATAAAGTATATAAAGTCCCGTGTAGCTCAGTTGGTAGAGCATGGCGCTTGCAACGCCAGGGTTGTGGGTTCGTTTCCCATGGGGGGCCAGTATGAAAATGTATGCACTCACTAACTGTAAGTCGCTCTGGATAAGAGCGTCTGCTAAATGACTAAAATGTAAAATGTAAAGTATAGGTGTCAATTGCATTGCCGAGGCCAGTGTCTCAGGTCAGGATGTGTTGTTGTCATACAGGGATGACAAAAAGGATGGCCTGAAGTTCTACACAGACCCGTCCTATTTCTTTAATCTGTGGAAGGAGAAGATGATCCAAGCAACAGAAAACAAGCGGAAGGAGAAGAGGCGGCAGAAGGCGGGTGACAAGGTGAGTGAGTTTGTGTGTATGTGTGCGTGCACATGTGTTTTATGTGTGTCTGTGATGAATCACTACTCTCTCACATTTTTTTCTCTCTCTCTCTCTCTCTCTCTCTCTCTCTCTCTCTCTCTCTCTCTCTCTCTCTATCTCTCTCTCTCTCTCTCTCTCTCTCTCTCTCTCTGACTCTCTCTCTCTCTCTCTCAGTCTAATTCAATTTAAGAGCTTTATTGGCATGGGAAACATATGTTAACATTGCCAAAGCAAGTGAAGTAGATAGTAAACAAAAGTGAAATAAACAATAAATATTAACAGTAAACATTACACTCAGAAGTTCCAAAAGAATAAATACATACAAATGTCATATTATGTCTATATATAGTGTTGTAACAATGTGCAAATAGTTAAAGTACAAATGGCAAAATAAATAAACATAAATATGGGTTGTATTTAAAATGGTGTATGTTCTTCACTGGTTGCCCATTTCTTGTGGCAACAGGTCACAAATCTTGCTGCTGTGATGGCACACTGTGGTATTTCACTCAGTAGATAAGGGAGTTTATCAAAATTGGCTTTGTTTTCTAATTGTTTGTGGATCTCTGTAATCTGAGGGAAATATGTGTTTCTAATATGGTCATACATTTGGCAGGAGGTTAGGAAGTGCTGCTCAGTTTCCACCTCATTTTGTGAGCAGTGTGCACATAGCCTCTCTCTCTCTATGTATCTCTCTGTCTCTGTCTCTCTCTCTCTTGTTATGACTGTTGGCAGTTTTTTCCCTCTCAGACACTCTCTCCTTCCCACCACCATTTGACATCAGGCCTGTCAGGATTAGCTCATTGCTCTTTTTAGACTGTCTGTGCAAAAGCCTCCTAAGCCTGGTGATGTGGACGTGTGTTTAGACAGACGGAGAGCATGGGAAGGAAAGAGAGAGAGAGAAAGAGAAGAGAGAGAGAAAGATCGAATCAGAGAAAGATAGAAAGAGAGAAAGAGAGAAAGAGGGCTAAGGGAGTGAGCAAGAGAGGAAACATGGTTAGTGAATAGCCTTGTCTTATGTGTTTAGCAAGATGAACAAAACCTCTTACTAACGCTACTAAGATATATATCTTAAATTGACAAGGGGCTCTATTCGATCTGTAACGCTAAAGCGTTACGACTAGCGTGCTAGAAATGTAAAGATAATTTCCTATTGAGCCGTCATCTGCAGCGTTTACCATGAATGCAGTCTCCGCTAACGCAGGAAAGTTGCCTTTACATTTCAATCAAACTGGAACGCTGAATTTCCGCGATACAGATTGAATAGCACCCTTAATTAGAGGAAGTATTACTATTTATTTACTAAGAACTAAGATGTGACTCCTCCACCAGTGGAATGAGCTGTGGCAGAACTGAAATGTATTACATTAATAAATAAGCCCTTACATGTTCTACAGCGCCTTCAGAAAGTATTCCCACCCTTATACTTTTTACACATTCTGTTGTGTTAGAGCCTGACTTTAAAATGGATTACATTTAGATTTTGCGTCACTGGCCTACACACAATACCCCATAATATCAAAGTGGAATGATGTATTTTTCAAATTTTTTACACATTAATAAAAAATGAAAAGCTGAAATGTCTTGAGTCAATACGTTTTGCTCAACAAGTCACATAATAATTTGCATCGACTCACTCTGTGTGTAATAATAGTGCCTAACATGATTTTTGCATGACTACCTCGTCTCTGTACCCTGCACATACAATTATCTGTAAGGTCCCTTAGTCGAGCAGTGAATTTCAAACACAAATTCAACCCTAAAGACCAGGGAGGTTTTCCAATGCCTTGCAAAGAAGGGCACCTATTGGTAGATGGGTTTTAAAAAAAAGCAGTCATTGAATATCCCTTTGAGCATGGTGAAGTTATTAATTACACGCCAGGGTTGTGGGTTCGATTCCCACGGGGACCAGTATGAAAAATGTTATGCAGTCACTTAACTGTAAGTCGCTCTGGATAAGAGCGTCTACTAAATGACTAAAATGTAAAATGAGGAGGAATAATGGTCTGGGGCTGTTTTTCATGGTTCGGGCTAGGCCCCTTAGTTCCAGTGAAGGGAAATCTTAATGCTACAGCATACAATGACATTCTAGATGATTTTGTGCTTCCAACTTTGTGGCAACAGTTTGGGGAAGGCTCTTTTCTGTTTCAGCATGACAATGCCCCCATGCACAAAGCAAGGTCCATACAGAAATGGTTAGTCGAGATCGGTGTGGAAGAACATGACTGGCCTGCACAGAGCCATGACCTCAACCTCATCAAACACCTTTGGGATGAATTGGAATGCCGACTGCGAGTCAGGCCTAATCGCCCAACATCAGTGCCTGACCTCACTAATGCTCTTGTGGTTGAATGGAAGCAAGTCCCCGCAGCAATGTTCCAATATCTAGTGGAAAGTCTTCCCAGAAGAGTGGAGACTGTTATAGCAGCAAAGGGGGGTACCAACTCCATTTTAATGGCCATGTTTTTGGAATGAGATGTTCGACGAGCAGGTGTCCACATACTTTTAGTCCGTACTAGTCCGTACCAATCTAGGTAGATCCGCTTTCAGTTTTAATGCCCCGCATTCTTGGAATAGCCTGCAGAACGCCACAACACTTTAAGACTATTATTAGATGTGTTGAATGATAGTTGCAGTTGTTTTGATTGAATGAAGAGATTGTTGTGGTTGTAATGTTGAAAGTTGTAACTTCTAGTTTTTTGAGTGATCATTTTGTATTGTTGTATTGCTGTGCTCGGGTCACCTTTGAAAATGAGACCTTGGTCTCAATGGGTTTCTCCTGACTAAATCAAAGTTAAATCAAATAAATGTATAGGTTTGTCTCTTCTAGGAGCAGAAACAGGTGGAGGACCCCAGTCTTATAGGTTTGTCTCTTCTAGGAGCAGAAACAGGTGGAGGACCCCAGCCGGGAGGTGAAGAAGGTGAGGAAGGCCCGGAACCGTCGTCAGGAGTGGAACATGATGGCATACGACAAGGAGTTCCGCCCAGACACCCGCCTCACGCCTTCACCCTACCATGGCATGTCCTCTGAGGGATCCCTCTCTCCAGACAGGTCAGTAGGGATGCACCGAAACAATCAATCAATCAACCAACCAATCAATCAATCAATCAACCAATCAATCAATCAAGGAACTTTTTATGATGTATAATATGGTGATATGTGCATCACTAAATGTAAATGTACCAAAGGAATCTGCTCTCTGCTGCCATCTACCTAAAAGTTTGAAAGCCTGCATGCTCCTTAACCCTTTACGCTGATGGGAATTGGCCTATATGGATAGGGCTAAATTGAAATGTTTCTTACAGAATAAATATGAAATGCATAACCATGGTAGCAATTGAAAGAGAACAGTTTGGAGATTATGGAGGAAAACAATGACCAAAGTTGAGGACACAACAGTTCGCCTGACACAGGACTGAATCCAAACATTACACTGTTGATTTTATGTGCATTTTACATTTACTGTACTTTTCGCCGCATTTGTTGATAACGAAATCTGAAAATGATCTGGATACATTCAGTAACATGATAAGACTATTCCTGGAAAATGTGGGGTAGGTGCAACATAAGAGAAAAGAATGACAAGGGTTTGAGTGAGAGGACTAACTGGTGTCTCCAAGTGGCCACACACCTCTCCAAAGTGTGGACAGTGCTTAAGTCATTTCAATGCACTTTTATGACTCAAAGAAAAAGGTCTTCAACTATAAGGTACTTTTTGTTGCTCTCCTAGCTGTGCCGTTGAGGAACTAGAGCAAGAACACCTGTAGTTCTCTTTGGAACACATCCCTGCATCCCCGCCATCACACAATTACTGTTGTTGTTTACGCAATCCAAAAACGGCCCATTATAAATTGCAATCTGGGTCTGATTTAGAGAACATCAAGCAGTGAGACAAGCTTGTTCTATTACCAACATGTCTAGATAAGTTATAAGTACAATCTTACAGTGCTAGGCTTTCACAGGGCAATTCAGAGAAACAGAGCGTAATTTGGGTGCGCATAGAAAGGAGTCATGCGTGCATTCAGGTGCGTGTTCCACAGCGAATTTCCTTCACAATAGACAAACAGGCTCATTCTGTTCAGAACAACCCAGGGTATGACACCATGTCATCTTGGAACTGTACATCAATCATAGTGATCATAAACTTTGACACTGTATATGACATGTGTTTTATGATATGGAAATGTGAAGTGCACATTTGGACTCATGGGTGTTTGGCTTGCTTGTATGACATCAAAACGGTATTTATTAGTCTCATCTTTCAAAATACATCGAGTCCTCTTAATTTACAGCATTTCCCTCACTCAAACAACAAAAGATGTTGCAAAAGTTGCCCAATTAGCAGGAGGGATGGGGTCAACTTCTTTTGTTCAGAACAGCTGTCAGTCAAAATCCATACAGCGCTGTGAAGCATAGAGCCTGAGCTCTGACGTCATTTACTGTGCAGCCACTGCTTTCCAATTTAGCTGCTTATAAGTGCCCAAATCTGCAATTTTAAAGAACTACCATGTAATATTGTAAATTGTACTCCAGCAATACTATGATGTTTTAATACTAGGCGCCTTGGTTTTAGATGACACATCGATTCTTTAAGACCTCCATTGGCATGAGACTTAAGTGTATGTTAAAAGTCTTTGATGATCCCTTGCTCCTCATCAACCTCTATCTGTGGTTTAAATGTTCCAGGTCTGGTATGTCTGATGAGCTGTCCTACCCTGCCAGCCCTAACCACCCACCCCAAGAGGGAGCTGTCTTGGGTCCTGATGGGAAGGAGCACCTGACAGGCCCCAACCAGACCCAGTCTCTGGACCGGGCCTACCGACCCCCTGCCGCCGGCACCGCTGCAGCCCAAGGCCGCCAGCACTCCCTGGGCCGCGTGCAGTCCCACCACGGACCCACACCCACAGACCCCTCCTTGAACGGACCCCGGCCTGCAGCTGCCAAAGAGGCTAGGTGTGTAACTGGCTACCCCTCTCATCTCTCGTCTCGTCTCCCCTCTCATCTTTCGTCTTGTCTCCCCTCTCATCTTTCGTCTCGTCTCCCCTCTCATCTTTCGTCTCGTCTCCCCTCTCATCTTTCGTCTCGTCTCCCCTCTCATCTCTCGTCTCGTCTCCCCTCTCATCTTTCGTCTTGTCTCCCCTCTCATATTTCGTCTCTCCTCTCATATCTCCTCTTGTCTCTCCTCTCATATCCCCTCTCGTCTCTCGTCTCATCTCTCGTCTCATATCCCCTCTCGTCTCTCCTCTCATATCTCCTGTCATCTCTCGTCTCGTCTCTCCTCTCATATCCCCTCTCGTCTCTTGTCTCTCGTCTCGTCTCTCGTCTTGTCTCTCCTCTCATATCCCCTCTCATATCCCCTCTCGTCTCTCGTCTCATATCCCCTCTCATATCCCCTCTTGTCTCTTGTCTCATATCCCCTCTCATCTCTCCTTCTCTGAGTACGTTTCTGCTACTGTATCTAAGTTGAATTAAAGTCTGAAAGCCCATTCTATCTACAGTAAATGCCACAGGCATATATTTGATTCTAATGTAAATGATGTAGTGCTGGACAGGCCCTGTCTGACTTGGTTGGTTTTCTGTCATTGTTCCACAGTGGTCACCAGATGCCAGAGCACTTTATCCCTCCGGCCCCGCCCCCACCTCCTCCCCTCATCCCCTCAGCCCAGACGGCCTTCGACAGCACAGCAGGGCCCCCCACCCTGGCCCCTGGCAATGTGGCCGCCCTGTCCCGCCCCTACAGCCCCTCACCCCCTCCACCCCCACCCGCCGGCTACTTCCCCTCTCCATCCCACCCTGTCACTGGGGGACCCCCTGTTGCCCCTCCTCCACCCCCACCTGGTGGCCCGCCAACATTCGCTCCTTCCCCAGCCCATGCCATGCACCCCTCTGGGGGCACACTGCCAAGGAAGGGCAAGGTGCTAGGCATCCCGATAAGCGACGCACGCAGCGACCTCCTGTCAGCCATCCGCAGAGGTGAGACCCTATGGTTCACTAGGTGGAAGGGCCAGGATTATACAGCATGATATGTCTACATTACTGTACATGGAAAGATAGCCCAGCTACTATACTAGTAACATATAATTACAGTAGAGAAAGTATCTTTTGACGGTTGTAGTGTAATCAGTAGATGACCGTTGTGTTGTGTCCTCAGGGATCCAGCTCAGGAAGGTTCAAGAGCAGCGTGAGCAGGAAGCAAAGAAGGAACCGGTGGGGAACGACGTGGCCACCATCCTGTCCCGACGCATCGCAGTGGACTACAGCGAATCAGACGAGGACTCGGAGCCTGAGGAGAATGAGTGGTCAGACTGAGGCGGAGGAAGAGAGGAGCTTAGGCTTGCTGTACTCAACTACATACTGCTGCTATTCCAATACCAGGATACACACTCACACACACAGTCCTCGCATACTACGTCTCGATAGACCGCTTGTTAGGGAAAGTACTGTAGATGAGGTGCTTACACAGTATGACAATATCCATTACCTAGTCAGATACTGTATGGGCTGAAAGGAAAGGAGAGGAGAGGAGAGGAGAGGAGAGGAGAGGAGAGGAGAGGAGAGGAGAGGAGAGGAGAGGAGAGGAGAGGAGAGGAGAGGAGAGGAGAGGAGAGGAGAGGGTTCAGAGGAAGCCACAGTGGGGCTAGGTGGATCAAGCACAGCAAGCTTATACATATATATACTGTATGATTATAATATATTACTTAAGGTACAGTATAAAAGTGTTTCTTTCATGAGTCATGATATTGTAGTTTGAATATCATGTGTGGTTTCAGTTGCATATCCTCCACCTGTAAATGAGCCAGACAGTAAGATGCTAGGGCGTTCTTTCAACTAGTCTCATCTCTAACTTAATGCACTTAAATATGTATTTATTGAAAAGTATTATTTAGTCTTCTGCTCTGGTTCTACTGTGCATATGAAGAAGATGCCACATCAAGTGTATATCAGGTTGGTTGATACTTTTTGGACATATGTTAGTGTAGCCAAAACTGTGTCATCAACACAACTTCTTGTTATCTGAGGGACGTCCCTTTGATTTACTTGTCTACAGTGTTGTGGTTCAGTATTGATACCCTAACTGGCAGAGTGTAACATCACTTGTCGTTTTTGGTGAACATAATTTGCTGAAGATTTGCTTGTTGACTAATGACTACTGTGTAAGACAGACCCTAACATGCAATTATTTTAGGGGGTTATTTTCCCTATTGTACTTGTGTGTGCGTGCGTGTGTGTGCGTGCGTGCGTGCGTGCGTGCGTGCGTGCGTACGTGCGTGCGTGCGTGTGTGTGTGTGTGTGTGTGTCAGGGAAATCTCAATGCCTTGCTGTTCATTTCTTTATTTTCTGACTCACAAGGCCTGAAGAGAAAGTGGTTGATTGCTGGTGGGCTTGTCGTCCAGTTTGACTAATTTTTTACTGGAGCAGACGAGAGAGCAATGTTTCATACATACTGATCCTATGTTCTGTTAAGTCATATGTTTATATAACTACTAATGTGTTTTACAATTCATTGTTGTATAGATTTTTGTAGCACTGCTTGTAAAATGAATTTGGGTATCTAGATATGAAATGACTATCTATCTATCACATTGATCAAACCTAGTGAAAATAGTGCACGTATGAGTAGCTAATAAAATGAAATAAGTGTTATGACGCCTTACTGTTGTCTTGGATCCTCTTGTGACTGTTTATCACAAACCTATTGCACTGATATAACTACCCTATTGTACCGTATCACTAGAATATGAATAACCAATTTATGCACTGGTTCTGAGAGACATTTGTACGTTGTTATTTTTGCATGTACAGTATGACCCCCACCCACCTCGCAGGCCATCTGGCCATCTGAGATGACAAAAGGTCATAGAGACAAATGAACTCATGAGATCCGCAACATGGGAGGGAACAGCTCATTGTGAGCCAGGGAGATGACAGTATTTATTGTGTAGAGCCACATCCTAAGGATGGTATTTTAATAAGAACAAGTAAATCCCCACTGGATGTGGTACCCTATGTATAATGATAAACTAGCTAATGTATTTATAGAGGAGTCTGTGTTGTCTGTTTTTTAATGCGTATTGTTTCTTTCCAACGTTTGTGGATGGTACCGGAACCTTCCAGTGGTAAAGTATAGGCCTCCTGTAGCTCAGTTGGTAGAGCATGGTGCTTGCAACGCCAGGGTTGTGGGTTCGATTCCCACGGGGGGCCAGTATGAGAAATGTATGCACTCACTAACTGTAAGTCGCTCTGGATAAGAGCGTCTGCTAAATGACTCAAATGTAAAATGTATTTTGGAAATGACTCTGTATCTCTTTCTGGTCCCATGTGAAGCAGCACTGAGATTAGTGGAGTGTTTATTATTCTAATAATAATAACAATAATAGTAATAATAATAATAGTAATGCCATTTAGCAGATGCTTTTATCTAAAGGTACTTACAGTCATGCATGCATACATTTTACATATGCTTTGTCCCGGGAATCAAACCCACTATCCTGACGTTGCAAGTGCCATGCTCTACTGAGCTACAGAGGACCACGAGACAGATTTCACACCAGACAGATACAGATAGCTGTTGTTAGATCCTGTTTGTTTTCCTGCTCCCCTCAAAGGCAGTGGCATCACACTAGGCAGCGGTCACTGAGCCGCCATCTGTCCCAGGGAGCATAGAGCCAGGACCCCACTGAGTGACCCACACCAAACAGACACGTGGTAAACAAAAACATTTATTGGCCTCTTCCACAGACACCTGGTTGGATGTCTCCTTGCTACAGATTTGGTTGATTGCCTTTGTTACAAAAACCAAAACTAAAATCCTGTCTCGTGACAATATGGTGAGGTGTTTCGAACAGAAATGAACCATGCAACACAGAGTGCCCCAGCATCTTAAGAAAGCAAACAACTTTGACAGTAGCTTTGCAATCGTTTTGGTATGAAAACAATCAGTCCTTGAATACATTTCTAAACCAGTTGAACAAGACACATTGAAGTGGTTTTCCTTAAGACAAAATCATAATTGATGATTAAAACAAACGAGAGATACAAACTACATACATTTATTTCAATAAATATATAAAAATATAGCTTTATATCAATATGATAAGACATTATGGACTTCTAAACCCTGTGAGAATACTATATCTTGACATAGCTAAATCAAATAATGCTGACAGTGGAGGTTGATGACCAAGGGGATCAGTGTTTGGGACAATCATTTGAACACAAACATTCCATTCAGTATTACCACAAGCAAAGCTTTGCGGCACACAGGAAACAGCCTTCAATTCAATAGTGATGACTCTAGTTGCAGAGTTCCCTCCAACTTTGACTGAAATCATAGCATATCAAATTGAGAGTTCCAATTATTGTGTATTGTTTATAGCAGCTCTTTGGCTGAACTACTAGTGAATAGGCAGTAGAGGAGCCTACATTCTGTAAGGGCTCTCCACACACATCTCAAACAACAGACATTGCATTATCATTCGAGTACTGAACTGTCCACCATACATTACGGAAGTCATAGAGATGCAGCTACTGTACTACATAAACTGACAAGGGGCTATTAGTTATGTATAGTGCTCACATCCTATTGAGAAACAACATGTCATGTCATTCAGTTTATCACTATACACACAAGTTATACATTATTGCCAGTGAGACAAAGTAAGGCAAAACAATTAAGACATTCGAAAATGTGTGTTTACCAACTATTGGAATGAGTGCCATTACAGCAGAACAAAACCGTAGCCTACAATTTGCATAATTTATATTTTTCTTAAATGATGCACTGCAACCATTCTATACAACTACCCTACAGACATCTATGTGTACAAGGCCTAAATATTGATTTGTTGTGAAAACATGAGAAAAGAGGGTTCCTCAAGGGTTCTTTGGGAAGGGTGATGGTTCTATGTGGAACCATAATGACCCAAAGAACTCTTTGAGCCCTTCAATGGTACTTTGCAGTTCACAAAAGGGTTCATTGCTCTTTTAGTGATAATAAAAATGTAGGGCCAGCGGCTCATTCGAATATTTTGGGGCGTGGTCGTCATTCTAGTTGATCTAATCTGTTGTGTTATGCCATTACATGTTACATATGACTATGGCCAGAAACAGTGTCTTGTGAAAGACTCACTTATGGCCTTGTGTCAACTGAGAACTGTTGTCTAACTCAGTTGTTCTCAATTCTTTCCTCAGGTACACCAGCAGTTCCACAGCTAGCACACCTGATTCAACTGGTCAATTAACACAATAATAAATGTTTGCTAAATGGCATATTATTATTATTATTATTATTATTATAACACCTAAGGAATTTTAACAATATGGCTAACCAGAATTTAAAAAAAACCTGTATGGTTCTTCAAATAGATCTACAAAGAACTGTTTAGATTGGGAAAGGTTCTTTATAGAACCATTCTCCATAAAGGTTCTATGAAGAACCATAAAAAGGGTTCTATATAGCCCCAAAAAGGGTTGTAACCATAGCGGAACCATTTTTTTGGTGCTATATAACCTTTTTTAATGGTTCTTTATAGAACCGTAAGAACAGATTCTTTATAGCACCATACAGGTTCCATTAATAATTTTAAAAAACACACAAAAAAAGGATCCGCTATGGTTACAAGCCAAATACCCCTTATTTGGCACTATATAGAACCATTTGTTTTTAGTGGGCAAGCAACAAAAATATGTTATGACATCAGAAATCAATCAGATGTCGATGTGGAAGGTCTACCGAGGGTGTAGGTAGGCTAAATGCATACAAATATTGCAAGTAGGCTATTGTCATTATAATGAAGTAGTGTTGCGCGTGTCGAATGTACGGGGTTTCCCACTTTAAAATGTAGAGTTCCCCGTCACACAGGGAATATGTGATACTGTCTGTGCGCGTTCATTTGGAAAACCTTGGCCGACACTATTTTGCTGCTTTTGTCTTGAATTCAAAATGCACACAAATGAGGGTTATTCTCCACTCTTACAGTATTAGCTACATAGCTCTTGCGTGCATTAGGGGCGATAGCTCACGTTTCGTGCTGAAACGGCTGTGCGGATGACGCTTGTGTACATAGAGCTGTCCACTCACTCCAGCATTTCCCCCTCGCAATAAACCATGCGTAAATCACACATTGGCTCACTTTTACTTGCCCCACTATTTGACAGACTGAGGGGACAGTTTAAACATACTGAAGGTGCAGAGACGCAGTAAGTGAGTACCACGTTTTGGCATCATTCTAATAAATATTCAACAACCTTTGATGAACATTATTCCCAATGAATTGAATCAATATTGTGACATTAGGAGTACTTTCCTT